GTACGTACACACACACACACACACACACACACACACACACACACACACACACACACTCTCTCTCTCTCTCTCTCTCTCTCCTCCTGCAGGTGTGGTGCAGATGCAGACACAGATAAAAGACAGAGTGCACATCAAGGGTTGGATACCAGTTGATTCTTGCAGATGCGGATCGAGATTTTTGTATCTGCGCAGGGCTCTAGTCATCTTAAACACAAATTTGGAATAGCAGGCAAAGGAATCAAATCTAGCAGCTCCTTTTGTTTGCTCTCTCAAGATCCCCGATCCATAATTTTTACCAATTATCTGTGTATAACTTAAGAGTCCATTTGTGGAATTGAAAGAATAATTCTCTATTAATTATATAGTATTTTAGCACATCATCAAAATTAAGCAAGTTTGTCCATTCCACAGTAATCCAACGTGTTGACTCCCAACAGGCAACATATACACCTCTACCCCAATATAACGCGACCCGATATAACACAAATTCAGATATAACACGGTAAAGCAGTGCTCCGGGGGGGTGGGACTGCGCACTCCGGTAGATCAAAGCAAGTTCGATATAACGTGATTTCACCTATAACACGGTAAGATTTTTTGGCTCCCGAGGACAGCGTTATATCGGGGTAGAGGTATAGTAGCTACCAATGATTCATAGATTTTGAGGCCAGAAGGAACCGTCATGATCATCTAATCACATCCTTCTGCATAACAAGCCGTATAATTTCATTTACTGATTCCTGCAGCAAGCCCATGGTTTAAACACTTCAAGTGAGGTGGAATCCATCACATCCTTTAGTTAGATGTACCATGCCGACATGGACATACCATGGAGTGTAGTATAAATGTTAGGTAGACATATCCCCCTGGCTATATGCATCCTGTTACAGAGCTCTTGTGCAGAAGAACTTTACATGAGTGGCACCATCAGCAGGCAGCTGGCCCTCTGAAGGGGTCTCAGACACACATAGACTTTAAGGACAGAAGGGAACAACATGGTCACCTAATTTGACCTCCTGCACATTGCAGGCCACAGAACCTCACCCACTCAGTACTGCACAGGACTGGCTCCAGCTTTTTAGCCACCCCAAGCGGCGGGGGGAGGGAGATAAAGCCGCGATCGGCGGCAGCTCTACCACGCCGCTTCATTCTTTAACGGCAATTCGGCGGATGGTCCTTCCCTCCAAGAGGGACTGAGGGACCCGCCGCTGAATTGCCGCCGAAGACCTGGACATGCCGCCCCTTTCCATTGGCCGCCCCAAGCACCTGCTTCCTGCGCTGGTGCCTGGAGCTGGCCCTGGTACTGCAGTAGGCTCATAACCTGTGGATGAGTTAATTAAGTCCTCAAATCCACCATTTACTCTAGTTCAAACCCGCAAGTGACCTGTGCCCCATGCTGCAGAGGAAGGCAAAAACAAAAACAAAAAACCCTAGGGTCTCTGCCACTCTGACCTGGTGAACAGTTCCTTCCTGACCACAAATATGGCAATCAGTTAAACCCTGAACATGTGGGTGAGACACCAGCCAGACATCTGGGAAAGGATTCTCTGTGATAACTCAGAGCCGTCCCACTCTTGTGTCCCATCTTCGGCCATTGAAGATATTTGCTAATAGCAGTCATAGATAGGCCATTGCCATTGTAGGCAATCTCATCATACCATCCTCTCCAGCAAACTTTTCAAACTCAGTCTTAAAACAAGTTACGTTTTTTACATCATCTACTCCTGTCAGAAAGCTGTTCCAGAACTTCGCTAAACTTCTGGTTAGAAACCATCTAATTTCAAACCTAAACTTATTGCTGGCCAGTTTATATCCATTTGTTCTTGTGCCAACATTAGCTCTTAACTTAAATAATTCCTCTCCCTCCATGATGTTTACGTCTCTGATGTATTTATAGCGAGCAATCATATCTCCCCTCCTCCTTCATTTTGTTAGGCTAAACAAGCCAAGCTCTTTAAGTCTCCTCCCATAAGGTAGGTCCTTTAGTCCGCTGATCATCCTAGTAGCCCCTCTCTGCACCTGTTCCAGTTTGAATTCATCTTTCTTAAACATGGGAGACCAGATTTGCACACAGTATTCCAGATGAGATCTCACCAATGCCTTGTATAATGGTGATAATATTTCCCCCATCTCTAGGGTAATAATCTAGCTCATGCATCCTAGGATTCCAATAGCCTTTTCCATGACTGCATCACGTTGGCATCTCATAGCCATTCTGTGATCAACCAATACACTCAGGTCTTTCTCCACCTCTGTTGCTTCCAACTGATACAACCCCAATTTATAGCAAAAACTCTTGTTGTTAGTCCCTAAGTGCATGACCTTGCACTTTGCATTATTAAATTTTTCAAGATTGTCCAAATCTTTTTGTATGATATACTAGTCCTCCTCTGTATTGGCAATACCTCCCAACTTTGCATTATCCACAATTTTTGTTACTCCCACCTTTTGTGATAAGGTCATTAATGAAAATATTAAATAAAATTGGCTCCCATGACCGATCCTTGAGGTACTCCACTAGTAACCTCCCTCCAGCCTGACAGTTCACCCTTCAGCATGACCCACTGAAGTCTCCCCTTTAACCAGTTCCTTACCCATCTTTCGATTCCTGTATTAATTCCCATCGTCTCCAATTTAACCAACAATTTCTCTTGTGGAACTGTATCAAATACTTTACTGAAATCCAGGTAGATTAAATCTATTGCATTTCCTTTGTCTCATCAGTTATCTTCTCAAAGAAAGAGACCAGGCCTAGCACGATCTACCTTTTATAAAACCATGTAATATTTTATTCCAATTTCTGTTTACCCCTATGTCCTTAGCTACTCTCTCTTTCAAATACTCCCCAAAAAGCCTACAGAAAGTCTGGTCTATAGCAAGTCAAATTCAGGTGTAAAAACTAAAAATGCCAGCAAAAAATTATTGCTCAGTATCAATCAAAAGCCTTAATCCGATGCTAGGCCTCACTAGTAACCCACTAAACTCATTTTATATATATATATAAATATATATCTTAATATTAGATGCAGATCTTAATATTAAAGATATATGATACAATTACATACAATTGAGGTCAAACTAATGGGTCTGCAGTTTCCTAGATCACTTTTTTCCTCTTTCTTAAATATAGGTACTATAGTTGCAATTCTCCAGTCATAGGCTATGACCCCACAATTTATGGATTCATTAATAGTCTTTGCTCTTGGACTTTCAATTTCACATGCTAGTTCTGTTAACATTATTGGATGGAGATTATCTGGGCCCGTCGATTTGGAACAATTTAGCTGTTTGAGTCTAGGGTGATGGGCTCAGTCCACCTCTGACAGGCTCCATAAGGGAGAATGAGGCCACTCAGGTTCACCTGGGAAGACTTAACTCACTGAGTAAGTGGGAGGCAGTTAATTATGCAGGGAAACACCCAGGCATGATAAAAGGAAGCTACTCCCAGTGGGGAGGGAGGCTAGAAAACAGGCTCCTGGGGAAAGGAACAGTCCCCAGATTACAGAAAGAGAAGGTTCCCAAGGAAAGGGCTTGTTGGGGGGAAACCTGGAGAGGGCGATCATTAGGAAAGGAAACTAAGGAAGAATGCTCTTAGGTAGGAGAGGCTCTGAAAGGGAGAAGCTACGAATGCAAAGTGTCAGCGGAACCTGGCCCCCATAGAAGGACTTCATCAGCAGAAGCCACAGATCAGAGCAGTGACATGCTGTTCTGAGGAAGATCATGATTTGACTTCTGTGGGCACTTTAACCCAAGAGGAGAGACCCTTTCCCAGATAATCACAAGAGCCCTGACTCCAGAAGAGGGTTCCAGGTCAAGAGGGCCTTCGCTGGTAAGGGGTGCGGGCATAAGTGAGGTTGATGGACCAAAGTTAACTCAGCCTTCTCTCCCTCCTGCTAGTGATGCTGGAGTGGAGGCCTATCTGTATAATGTTCTCCTTTGTGTTAAATAAATTAGATCCCCACAGAGGCACTGCTCAACACACATAAGCCTCACTGGACTTACTGAAATCCCACTAGCAGAAACTGAGGCAGAATGGTAATGTTTCAACGGTCCACCAGGGGGCACTCCAGGGATCAAGGCCCTCTCCCCAAGCAGAAATCAAGATCACCCAAGTGCATTTTAAGCTGTCATCTTAATGGTAGACAGGAGTGATTATACTGGCATGCCACCTAAAGCTGCATAGTATTTCTCAAGGTTTCAGTACAGAGAGAGTAGAGAGGAATACCTGGGTAGATCTAACATATCCTGGGAGTACATACTATTAAAGTTTTCAACCCAGATTATAATACAGAAAATAAAATATACATTAAAAATATGCATCACTGTAGGTTTTCATTCTGCAAAAAAATTCAGACAAAAATTCACCTTAAAGAGAATTGTTTATTAATTTTACAATATAGAAGATACTGGATGAAAATAAGAAAGAACTTCCATCTGATATTCTGCATACCTTAATGGAGAGTAAAAAGATATCCCAATGCCTTTCATCTAGGGGCCCATTTTTCTAAATTACAGAAAGTCATTTTCACCTCTAAGCAATACAGTTCAGTATTTAAAAGCTTGTATTACTGGTATTTGTTATGAAACCAGAATTGGTCAGAACATTCATAGAACTTCATTTACAGAAAGTACCCTTGAGTGGTGAGATTTTCTAGCTAATGATTGAGTGAATTCCACTGACTAAAAACTAATATCAAGGAGTAGCTTGTCCTGTTCATTCAAATTCTCTGCTGTTACATTTAGGGTTACATTTAGGTTCTTTACCATGTCCATCTAAAGGGTCGAAAGCAGGAGTTCTCAACCTTTTTCTTTCTGAGGCCCCACCAACATGCTATAAAAACTCCATGGCCCACCAGTGCCACAAATGGTTTTCTGCATATGAAAGCCAGGACTGGCATTAGGGGGTAGCAAGCAGAGCAATTGGCTGGTGCCCCATGCCCGCGAAGCTGCATTGCTCAGGCTTTGGCTTCAGCCCCGGGTGGTGGGGCTCAGGGCCCTGGACTTCAGCCTCATGAGGTTGGGCTCTGGCTTTCTGCCCTGGGCCCCAGCAAGTCTAATGCCGGCCCTACCTGGCAGCCCCCTGATGGGGGCCTTGGACCCCTGGTTAAGAACCACTGATCTAAAGGCCACTGAGCAGAGTCCAAGAGTCTGGGTTCCAGCCTGAGCCTGAACAGCTACACTGCAATTAAACAGCCCCTTAGCCCAAAACCCACAAGGCCCGAGTCAGTGAACACAGGCCAGCTGCAGGTGTCTAACTGCAGTGTAGACATACCCTTAGCCAGCAACATTCTTACTAAAGTCATTTAGCCTGTGGCAGACAGAACATCAGCCAGGATAGATGCATCCCTTTACTCTTTTCATACTACTTTGTGAAATTTTAATATCCTCAACCGTTATAAAAAGAGATAGCTATTAACGTCTCCTGTTACAGGGCACAAAGAATGCTAGCTGCCAACAACACAGTAACTACTTACGGGCCCCACCCACACTCCTTGTGCACCTAAAGACTCGTGGCCAGATACCTGGAAGATGCACTATACAGTGCAACAGTTGGGTAGCCTCCACTGGCAGAGGCCTCCCGGGAACCCCCCCGAGTAGGAGATAACAAGCCCTCCCTCTATCTAGGCATTCATATCCCACTCGTCATTGCAGTATCCAAGTGCCTCAGGTACAGCTGTCCTAGCTGGCACATATGACTTAGGAACACCCACAGACCCATCATATTGTGCAGCCTTTTATCTTTCAATTGGACTAAATAATTCTTGCTGCACCAAAATACTAAAGGTAGTTACGAACACTTATCATTAAAAATTTACCTCAGTATTTAAAGATGCTTTTTATAGAACGGCACATCATCTGAATAACGCAATCTCCACAATACCACTTCTGTTATCACTTCACATTTATCCTGACCACACTAAGTTACTCTGTGGGCTAGACCTTCCTCTACATAGACACAGGTGTAAATCAAGGGTTTAAGTCAATGAGTCAGTCCCTGACCTGTTGTAAAACGTCACAGCTCCATTTGACTTCCACAGAGCTCTGCTGATTTACACCTGCTGAGAATCTGGCCCAACCGAGTTAAAGCAGTGTAAGACACTCCAAAGGGAGAGGAGCATCAGGCCTGTGCAAGATACAGTTCATGGCCAATCTAGTGGTGACATGAAGGCATTGACTTTGTTAACAATAAGAGGGTAGCGACCAAGTTGCTGCAGTCACTATTTCTGCTGCAGTCTCTTCGTTGTAACATGTTGTTCTCTGCCAGCTCAGCAAAGGATGCACATCACTGCTGTATTATAAACACATGAAAATTTGTTCACCCTTACCTGGCTGCATCTTCTTCAAGAAGCAGCTTCACAAACTGTCTGGGGATGTTCAGTGACAGTACACTCTCAGCCATCTGCTCCAAAATTCTCAGGTGGTTCCCATCAGTTGTGGGGAAACGATACATCCGACAAATGGCACCACCAAACACTAAAATATTAAAACCACTTTATGTAAATGTGTGGTTTGAGTTCAGCATTTACAAAGTCTCCCCTCAACCATTACATTAAGCTACATTGACTAGATTCAATATTGGCTGCTTGTAAAAATCCAATTTAAGTCATTCACCTATCTAGCTTTTCCAAATGCCATTTTTATAGGAAGGAGCTTTCTACTCACTGTCAAAGAAAAAACCCAAATCCAAAAGGTATTCAAAATATTTTAAAGGAAAAAAGGAACAATTCATTTTTTAAAAATTCTTCACATATTGAATTTTTTTCTCCTAATACATAAGTCTATAGGAGAGGCCATGGTAGATGAATGTAATGGTAAACAACCTGTAAGATATTTTACTTCATAAAGTATTGTTTGTACTACAAAGTGCTGTAGTGCAGGTGGCAAAATAAATTATTCTTATGGGTCTCAATTCAGCAACCAGTCCCTATTCAACTTCAAACACATGCTTGAGTGCTTTGTTGAACTGGGGCTATGATGGAGGCAAAAAGAGATTAGCTGTCACTGATAATGTAAACATGCTAAATATAGTAAGAACTGTCAATACACACAGAGCAAAGATATTAATCTGATAGTAGGTGCGCTATCAATATCTGCCCAGTTAGCTGCTTACCGGATTTTAGTAACACATCTTTCCGTAACGAAGCATATTTGGATCTGATTCCTAAAGATTCTGTTAAACTTTCATCAACTGGCAGTACAGTCTAAAAGACACAAATAGTAAAGTCTGTACAATGTAAAACCTCAACACCAAGTCAAGCTAAACTGGTGAGACATGAAGACATGAAGGTAATATTCAAAACAGGGAATGTTTAAAATACATATTCCAAACATGTTTATCAGGAATAATCACTATCCTGACTGCAAACTGAAATACTAAAAACATCTAATGATCAGATCTTCAGATAAGGGACCTACTTTTTATTTGTACTGCAAAGCACCTAGCACACTTCTGAGTGCTGTAAAAATTATTGGCCAGATCCTCAGCTGCTGTAAATTAGCATAGCTCTATAGTCTACATCAATTTACTGCCCAGTTGAGGACCTGGCCCAATAAATAATGATGATAATCCACATTCTGAACATACTACAGGTATACAGATTATATGACTTCAGATGTATTCATAATACAGAGTCTGCAGCACTAAACTTGTTCCCTAAGCAGGCAGGCAACTATAAATATCTGCTCTAGAGAACACTGCTTGTTACTATCAGAAAAGATCCAGATTTCAGATATAGTGTGGTCTGTTCTTTTAAACTATCTGATCGTATTTCTACTTCACAAGCTGTCCTTCTTGAACTTCCATTTTCACTGATAGTTTCTAATAAGCTAGTTTAAGCATTTGCTTGGTACTGCCTTCAGATTCACAAATGGACATCAGTGAATTTCTTTTGAAATCAGCTACTTCCCATAGACATGCATCATGCACAATAGTAGGTAGTGGTTTTTGTGTTGTTGGGTTTTTTTTAAGGGCATGCAGCAATACAAGCCAGTGTAATTAAGGGAAGATAGAATAAGAGCCCTGTCTATTACCACAGACAAGTTTCCATCCCACCATCTTCAAGAACTCTCAGCATTACAAAAAACTGTACATCACAGGCTGTGCCCCAAGTATTTCAACACTGAACTGTTTGTTACAGATTAACCAGCTAATATTTGTACAGTACATTGAAAATATAAAGGACTATAAGTACTAAGCAGAATTAGTAAGTGATTGGGTAGAGGGGGAGGCAATTTGCAGACTATAACATTATCTATAACATTGTCTTCAGTAATCCTGTATCTATCTGAGGCTGATATAATGTTCACACTCACCCTCCCATTAATGGTGTCAGGAGACCTTGTTACAGGAGGCTTTTGGTCCGTTTTTTCTTCCATTTGCCATCCTATAACTGTGATGTTACCTACACGATCACTTTCAGCAGACCTGCAACAAACAAGTTATTTTTTTAGAGAGGGATCTGTTTGTCAATAGGAGACCAATTACTACTACACACAATATACTGATCTGTGAATTTAATGAACATTTAAAATTAGGAAGCTTATAACATGGAGATACAAATTAACCGATTTTACATGCCAGATATTAAATGACACCAATAGGAAGACATTCATCTCATTCTGTAAAGATTGGTCTGCTAGCTGTATATGATCTTATATATTGTATCATATGTGGTGCTAAATGGGAGAGAGTTAAGGGGACAGCAGCATCCTTAACAAGGAATAGTCTTCATTTTGTCAGTTTTAGATTCTTAATGATATTTTAAAGTTATTGTTTGCATTTAACAATGTGTAATGGTGATTCAAACAAATAGCTGTTACAAACAGTGCTGGAGAGTAAATGAAAAAAGCACACAAGAGACTGCAAGAACAGATCTAGACACACATACAGCACGGCACGTGTGGAATCAAGTTTTGAAAAGGAAAAGATTGAGCAGATGTTGCTCTGCATTCTAGTTACATTTGTGAAGAGCAATGTGATAAGGGGAAGAGAGTTTCACACCCACCCACCCCCTCCCAATCAATCATACTGCACTTGATATCAAAAAATATTTTATAATAGTTTCGTTTCCTACTCAATAATGAGAGAAGAACACCTAATCGATTGATTACTCATGATACAGGCCACGTAGAATGCTAGAAAGTCTGCCACCAGCTTCCCCTGCCCCAAACCATCTCTTCTCCATAGCTGTGGATAAATAGCCTATTTTGTTACAGTCTGTCTCTTTTCTGACTCCGCTCATTACTACGCGCCCCAGCACATCCTCTGTTGCCAAATCCAGTCAATTTTTCCTTTATAACATATCGGGGGGGGGGGATCAGTCCTCCCCCTTTTGTCTCTACCATCAAAAGCCTTGTCCATGCCTTGGTCATCTCTTACCTTCACTAATACAACCTCCTCTATGCTTCTCCCACCAATTCCTTCAGGGAATTCAATATGCTGTTGCTGCAATCATCTTCCTCTCCAGTCTCTCTGACCATGCTAATCCCCTACAAAGATCCCTTCACTGATTTCCCTTCACCTTTCACATCACGTTCAAGATTCTTACCAATGCCTCTCTAGCATTGCCACCCACAGTTACACGTTTGAGCTCAGTTCCTCCTAATCTCTTCCTGCTCCCCTCACTCTGCACAAACTTCCTAACTTCTCCCACACTTGATTTCATACCTCCAAGCTGACCCCTAAGGGTGGGACTGTATCCCTGTTCTTTGGCACCAAGTTACCATCCCCACAAGACACTCTCCTCCCCTGAAGCTTTTCAACATTAATCCACCCAGTAAATTATTTTTTAAATAATATTAAAGATATCTGCTCTGTTTTGAGACTGGTTCTTCCTATAGCTAGAGTGTTTAAGGACAAACACACTAAAGTCTGTGAGATGCTCAGATGCTACAGAAATGGAGACCATATAAACACCTTACATAGATAAGTAGAGAGACATGGTGGGTGAGGTAATATCTTTTATTGGACCAATTTCTGTTGGTGAGAAAGACACACTTTCAAGCTTACACAGAGCTCAGTAGCTAAGATATCCAATGTAAATAAGAAAAGCTTCTGGTTTTCCAGGGTCTCCTCTGTCTGTTTCACTCACTCTCACACGCCTTATATATCAGTATAGTTAAGAGTAACCAGTTTTGCCAGTGTGTGTGTACTGTGTGCTGTACACACACACACCCTTCATGCCAAGGCAATTTGATGAAATACACAAAGAGAAAAGAAATTGTACTTGTAGGTACACTTTCAACTTGCAGAATTAAAGACAACTCCCAACAAACAATTACAGCGTTCTCATTCCTTGTTCCCTGCATGCTTTGCCACCAAAAGTCTATCCCAATATTTGAAAAGGTTCCTATGTTCTACATGTTTTAAACGTCACCCAATAACTGATTTTCATTAGTAGAGCCCTTGAACTTTGAACGCTTATTTAAAATTAAAAATCAAAAACAATTTTCACAACATGCTCCCGGCCCTACTAATCACAGTGTTAGGAATGTTAGTTTCTGATGGACTGAAACTGCATTACAAACCTTAGTGTTAAATGCAATCTATGGTTCTTCTCCTGAAGTAATTCCTTTACAGTGAACATTCCAGAACCCAATAAATACATCTGAAAAGAGGAACATTATTAGTGTAGAAATTTCAATTCATAAAGCACCTGTCCATAAGCACAAGTTGTGTACAATGATTAAACACTACAATTATAAATAAATATTTAAGAACAAAATACTATTACGAACAACAAATATAAATAAACTACCCAACCAGGCCCAGAAAGCCCAAAAAAACAAACAAAAAAACCCCCCCACTACCTTGGGGATTTTTCCCTTGAGGAAAATAAGACCTTTGCTTTCACTGGGCTTGAGGGAAAGGACTCTCCCAACACATACAAGCCAATCCAAAGGGCATGGAAATGGTGCAGTCTTGCATGGAAGAGCAATGGGGGTGACCGTCACTCTCTATATTAATGGGTCCGAGAACAAGCTCAGTATTTCCTTCTAGGCAAGAATAATGAAGGTCCTGATTGTGCCCTCTACTCTAAAGGCTTATGGGCAAAACAGAGGATTGGGTAGGACTCAGAATGACCAGAGAAACGTATCATCCTCCTATTGACTCCCAAGGATTCTACAACCTCAGACTGTGTCATCTATTCTGCACAGCCTCCCCACTGAGATTCTGAAACAGCCACAGATGGGGGGAGTCATGGGAGACCCTGATGGAGCCACAGTGCCAGGGAGTCATGGGAGAACAGGCAATGGGGCCAGAGCTAGTGCAGACAGAGACAGATTAAGATTTAGTGAGGCCCTGGTCACAAAGAACATTTGGGTCCCCTACACCACAGGGACTCGGGGCACCAGAACTGTGAGGAGCAGGAGGCCATGCCCCGCCCACTTTTTAACATAGGCATAGTAGCTTCAGGTAGGTGCAGAGCAGTGGCAGCAGGGGCTGCATTTCGCGGCGTGGGAGCTGATCACCTTCCCAGTGGGGGGGGGGCGCGCTCAGATGGGCCTTAATATCCCCTTGCCACGAGGCTAGGCTTGCCAACTTTTTAACTGAGGAAAACCCAACACCCTTCGCCCCGCCCCCTGTCTGCCTTGCCCCTTCTCTGAGTCCCCACCCTCACTCACTCCACTCCCCCTCCCTCTGTGGCTCGCTCTACCCCACCCTCACTCACTTTCACCGAGCTGGGGGAGGGAACTGGGGTGTGGGAAAGGGTGAGGGCTCTGGGGTGGGGCCAGAATAAGGTGTTTGGGGTGTGGGAGGGGGCTCTGGGCTGGGGCAGGGTGTTGGAGTGCGGGAAGGGCTGAGGGCTCTGGGGTGGGGCCGGGGATGAGGGGTTTGAGGTGCAGGAAGGGGTTCCGACCTGGGGCAGGGGCCTGGGGTGTGGGAGGGGGTACGGGGTGTGGGCTCTGGGAGGGAGTTAAGATGCAGGAGGGGGTTCCAACCTGGGGCTGGGGGTTGAGGTGCAGAAGAGGGATCGGGGTGCAGAATCTGGGAAGTAGTTTGGGTGCAGGAGGGGGCTCAGGGCTGGGTCAGGGGGTTGGGAGGTGGGAGGGGGTTGGGGTGCGGGCTCCAGCTGGGTGGCGCTGACCTCAGGCAGCTTCCGGAAGTGGCGACATGTCTAGCTCCTAGGCAGAGGGGTCAGGGGCTCTGCACACTGCCCGTGCCTGCAGGCGCCACCCCTGCAGCTCCCTTTGGCCATGGTTCCTGACCTCCCTGGCCACCCCTGTGCCTAGGAGCTGCAGGGACATGGCGATCACTTCCAGGAGCCACGCGAGGCCGGGAGCCTGCCATAGCCCTGCTGCACCACCAACTGGACTTTTAGCGGCCCGTTCAGCACCTGGTCAGCTTCCCAGGGATCCCAGGCCACTGTAGGGAGCCCCAGACCCCCCCATCTGCCCCGGGCAGCATGCCCAGGGGTGCGGAGACATGGGCTGGGGGCTGCTCTCAGGCATCCTGCCCCTCTGCCCAGGGCAGTTGAAGGGTCCAGGGCTTCCCACAGCAGCTGAGGTTCCTTGGGCGGCTCTTACCATGACGTGGCTCTGGCTTTTGGCCTACCCAGTGGGCGGGAACTCTGGGGGGAGAAGAAGAGCAGGGGGCGGGCCACAGGTCTGGTGCCAGTGGCCTCCCATTTCTACAGTTTCCAGCGCTCCTGAGGGGGCCCTGAATTGGTCAGGGCCTCTCACTTTGGCCACCTGTAGAGTGAAGGAGACGTCTGAATCTATGGGTTTTTCTGTGGGGAAGCAAACCCCACTCTCTCAATGGGGCAACCCCGGGGGTGGGGAGAATTTCAGTGATTCCCTTCTCCAGAACTTTCTCTTGCTCATTTTTCTCCAGAAGAGGATGAGCTGGGTCGAAGTTATTAGTTTTTCTTGGACTTTGGTTTGTTGGTGGGTAACACACATGTCAGAGGGTGAGTATCAATCATAACATTCACTTCAGGCTGTCCTTTACTGAGGTGACGTTAGAACAGAGAATGAGTCTAATGCCTCAGGCATATAAATTCAAGGGCTGATGCAGAGTATCCATATGTCAGAAAGCAGATTGCACAGTTGCTTTCCTGAATGAATCTTCTGGCATTTTTGCTTCAGAAACAACCTTCTATTTTTCAATTCAGGAATTTTTTAAAAGCAAGACAGAGGTGTCAGAAGGTTGCAGGGATTTTGATGTGGTGGAAATCCATATGCTGCTAAGCAATGATAAAGTGGCAGTGCTAAGTGTTTTTGAAACAGAGGGTGCACAACATTCATACTGAAATTAAAAATTACTCAAAAATCATAGAGTTCCCCCCTCCCCCGGTTTTCATCAAGAACTTGAAAGTGGGCTCATTTTTGAGAAACATTTTGCTAAGATAGGGCCCAATTTTTGAGGGAAAATATCTTTGCATGCAGATTCTTAGGTTTTTCACTTGCTTTCAATGAACAATTGTAAAGAAAAAAATTACTATGGAGCAAAATTTGGGGTTTGTGGAATTACGCACAGCCAAACTGCAAACATTTTCACATAAAACCCCTCAAAACACTTTTTTTTTTAAATTTCACACAACTCTAATTTGAGGCCAAGAGAGATTTTATCATTCTAATTTTATCATTCTAATTAGAACAGAGTACCATAAAGGAATAGAACACAAAGATGGCACCTTTCACTTTAAATGTGTAGGACATATTTTAGCCTTTAAATGTGTAGGACACACCAAATTAAGAGCTTTGCAGGGGGCCCTAATGTAAAAACAGGTTTCATCATACATGAGGTGAAAATCCAGAGCTTTGGTTTAATTTAGAGCAACAGAAATGACAGAAGGATTATGAAGGAACATGCAAGTGCACTTACTGTTCCCTGAGATCTATCTTTGACGTCGTACACAGAAAGTTTGATTTGAGTCATTTGATTGATAAGAGAGTCTTGAAAAAAGGCAATACTGCTTAGAAAGATAGGATTATTTGTTCCCTACAATCATAAACAAAAAAGAGATAATATTAATGCAGTGTGATATATGTTGAAAAAAATGTTCCTTATATTAGCTTCAACCTTAAATCAAGAGCAACAATACACCACTACTTACCTCAATAATCTCTGTCTGTGCATGCTTTGTCCAGAATGCCTGAGGAGGTGTAGTGACACTTACTGCGACAAAAGTATTTGGTTTTCGATCTAGCGATGGTGTGAGCAACTCACTGCAAACTTTAGAGGTTTAAGAATATAATTTTTAGAGTCATGGTCTTTCTGACATTGTCCAAAATTCTACAGTTCTCATAAACATGTATAATACAAAGAGTGGGCAAGCAATGAAGGGCCAAATTTTCAGTATGCTTCTATTTTGTGCATAGGTAGAATACTCACGTTTGTGCATGCAAACAACAATTGCACACAGAGATCAGGTAGTCAGATTTGCAATTACCCACTATGCATATGCAAATGTGGGTATTTTTACACACAAAAACGATATAACATGCACAAAACTGGAACATACTGTGGGTCCCAGCTGCAATTTAAAATTACTCTCTCCCAGAAGAACCATTGTGGGAGGTTGGTGGTGCAAACATCACCCTTCCCTGCCCTTCCCCTGAGGGACAACGGTTCATAATAGCGCAAGGGGGTATGTCTCCAGTGGAAAGCTCATGGGCATGGTGTGCATGAAATAAGCCTGCAGTCTGCTGAACTCTTTGCTCAATAGTATCTTCTCAAGGATATCATTGGGAGTGCTTGAATACCAACCACGTGTCTGCACTGTAAACAGAAGTAGATGGTCCATCAAAACAAGAGGGCACTTTATTTCCGCTAAAAAAATTATTGTCCTTTCATTATTTTAACTACTGTAGAGGGGGAAATGGAAGAGGAATCTCCTTCCAAAAAAATTGTATGTGATTGCCTTCCATACAAAGAGCTAAACAGAACTTTGGTATTACAGCTGAAAATCCATGTTATCTCCAGTTGTAATGCCATCTTTATGCCTAGAGACACAAAGTGATGAGGTAATATCTTTTTCTGTACCAACTTCTATTGGTGAGAGAGACAAGCTTTCAAGCTTACACTTGAAGGATCTGAAGAAGAGCACTGTGTGAGTTCAAAAGCTTGTCTCTCTCACCAACAGAAGCTGGTCCACGAAGAGATATTATCTCACTCACCTTGTCTCTCTAATATCTTGGGACCAACACAGCTACAAAAACACTGCATGTATCATTATACCTAGATCTTCCCCCACTATGGTCCAAGTTATGACTGAAGCTTGGTGGACTAGATGTATAGCATTAACTCTAAAATTTGTCTGTGCTAGGCAAAATCTTGATGTAACCTAAATAGTACAGTAACTCCCCACTTAACATCCTCTCGCTTAATGTTGTTTCGATCTTACATCCCTGCTCAATTACAGATCATGCTCCATTTAAAGTTGTGCAATGCTTCACTATAACATCACTTTGCTGCCTGCTTTATCCACAGCTGGCAGCCCCCTATCAGCTTCCCTATGCACACACACCCCAGCACCTCGTGCCCACCGGCAGACCCCATGGATCAGGGCCTTCCCCCTCCTCCCGCCCGCGGCAATCAGCTGGCTTGCGGTGTTCAGGAGGCAGAGAAGGGAGGAGGAGCCTGCATGCCGTGGCCTCGCTCCTCCCCCCTCCCTCCTGAACACCGCAAGCCAACTGATTGCAGTGGGCAGGAGGCAGTGGAGGGAGAGGGGAAGAGTGAGGACCCGGCATGCAGAGTAAAGGGGGAAGCAGGGGGGGGAGAAGAGGTGGGTTAAGGGTGGGAGCTTGGGGGTAGGGGTGGCGTGGGCGGGCCGAGGGTTGAGCCCCCTGCCCCTGCTGCTTGCAGAGTAGGGGAAGCTGCCGCTGCTGCTGCACACCGTGCTTCTCCTAGCCTACAGCACCTTCAGTCTCCTTGCCTGCCTCATTGTCTCCAGTGCCAGTGGGTTGTGCCTGTGTGGGGTAAAGCGGGGGCACCTCCCAACTATAGTACTGTACTGTACTATATGGCAAAAAAAAAAATGTCCCTGGAACCTAACCCCCACCCATTTACATTCATTCTTATGGGGAAATTGGATTCGCTTAACATCATTTCACTTAAAATTGCATTTTTCAGGAACAAAACTACAATGTTAAGTGAGGAGTTACTGTATTGCAGTGCTGAATACTTTTTTATTTTCTTTGCTCACCTGGCAGACAGTAGCTGAAACCATAAAAAAATAAGTAATTCAAATTCTGATTAATGACAACGCAGGATTCAGATCCAGTATTAAACATACCTATCACTGGTTTCCAATGTTCATTTAAAGACCACTGTCAGATCATAAAGCTTTCAAACTTTTGTAAATTAGTTACTCAGCCAGGAATGTGCTCCACAAATGGAACTTTTGAATTTTCATTGGGAAGCTGCGTTTCTTCTAGTTTCCAGCCAGGTTAACTGATGCACAAAGAGGTCAAAATGACTTGCCTAAAGTCATTCAACCAGCCACATTTTTAACCATGTTAGAAATCAGGACACTTCTGGGACCCATATTAACCAAGTGACTATGGGAAAGGATGTATAATTGGCAGTGGATAACCACTGGAAAACATTCTAGCCTAAAATATTCCTCATCCATTTATGCAGGTGTGCAATTTTCTTAAAGATTCATAGTGCAAACAAATTGAGACTGAAGCGACAATCTCAATCTCAAACTCATTAAATCTAAAAGTACAGAAGAAGTTTTAATCTATAGACTTTCAAAAGTATAGCATAGTTGGTTCACTACAGCCTACCATGCTATCTGTCAAGACCCTTTTACAGAAAGCAGGGAAAGCTCCATACAAATGCAAGTGCATATCCCTCTCAACACTTATTTATATGGTAGCCCTTTCCATATCAACAATGGTAAAAAAATATTCAACAGCAGATCCCATGAAAACCAGAAATGGTTTTAAAGAGTCATAAAAACTACCGACCTAAGCTGAATTCTAAAATTGGCTCATCTGGATCCTGGATGTTTCCTGTAGAGCAGAAAAATTAGTAAAAGATTAACTCTCCATTGTTCTCATGCAATTCTTGAATTGAAGTTACAGTTAGAGAGGGGAAACATTTTAGGGAAGAAGTTAAATCTACAGAACGTTTTATGTGACTTCTTTTTAATTCAATGAATCTTGAAAAACTATTTAAAAATATTTACATGTTTCATCTTCAAGACCTACAAAGCCATTGGATTAAAAAAATTTAAGGCAATGGTTATGGGATTTTTTAAGTGCCTACGTGATTTAGGAGCCTAAGTCCCATTTTCAAAAGCAACAAATACTTAGAGTCCTAAATCTCATTGAAAGGCACCTAAATCAATGCGATTAAGCCTTGTCTATACTAGAAAGTGGAACCATTTTAAAGATACAGACACAGGCTACATCTACACTACGGGGGGGGGTCGATTTAAGATACGCAAATTCAGCTACGTGAATAGCGTATCTGAATTCGACGTATCGCAGCCGACTTACCCCGCTGTTGGGACGGCGGCAAAATCGACCTCTGCGGCTTCCTGTCGACGGCGCTTACTCCCACCTCCGCTGGTGGAGTAAGAGCGTCGATTTGGGGATCGATTGTCGCGTCCCGACGGGACACGATAAATCGATCCCCGAGAGGTCTATTTCTACCCGCCGATTCAGGCGGGTAGTGTAGACCTAGCGTCAGTTAAAATGGTATAACTCCCCTAGGGTGGAAGCAGTTACACAGGTATGAATGTGCTTATACCAGTATAACTATCCCCTTACAGAAACAGGAATCAGCTATACCACTATAAGGCATCTTTATAATTGTTAACTGCATCCACATTAGGGCTTGTACCAATATAATCATATCAGTTAAAAATATTACATCCCTAACCAACATAGTTATATTGGGATCACATTCAAGTGTCATCCAGGCCTTAGGTCACTTAGATGCTTTTGAGGATTTTACCCAATGCCTAAAGTGGGGGTTACCCAGACAGTTCACACAGACGTATGCACACTTCCTCTCGTCCTCCCATCCTCTCCATCTCTGACCCTTGTTCTGAAGCTTTGTTTTCCTTTGGCTTGTCCAATGATCATGGAAGATCTAACCTAATCTAGCCTTTTCCTCCCCATCACCACTTCAAGTTCCTTGCCTAGAAAATAGGGCAAAATTAGTTTTTAAAAGGTAGCCTATTGGTATTTGAATTTCAGGATAATCCCTCCATCGCATGCACTGAGGATAAACAAGAATGTTTAAAACTTCCAAAAAACAACAAAAATATTTGAAAAAAATAATAATGTAAGTATGTTTGAAAGGAACAAGTGGGCACCAGGTGATGCAAAAGTGTTTACCTGCCAGAGACAGACCTAGCATGTCAGAGGCAATGTCAATAGTGGAGGCCCGTTGCACAGTGCGGGATTTTGCACCATGGCGGGGGCTGTGTTCTCTTGCTGTCATTTTGTCATGAAGAACACGCCTTTTCTTGCTGCTAGATGTTAGTGATTTGTCTTGCCGAAGTATCAGAGTGCAGCAGATTGTCTCCAGTCGCTACTCCTCCAATATCACCATGCTAAGCATAACTAAAACAAAATTAAAATGACCATTGTGAACTCACTGTAACAGTGGCAAATCTATAGATTTAAAATTACCTTAAGTAAGCTTAGAAAGCTAAATGCTGATAAAATGCAAGATAACAATTCACATGATTCATGCTTCTGTAGGACTTTTAATGAAAACGGTCTAAATACAGTACAACTTGCAAAAAAGGCTTTTCTGTCAGAGATAAGGGTTGAGAGATACCTATTAGACAAAGGGAAGAGAGCAGCTGCTGTGTTAAGTGATTACTGTACATCTTTAATGCTGTTTGGTGGTTCTCATAACCCCAGGGTATTGAGAGTAAATTTGTCAGATGGGGCCTCTTTCTGTAGAAATAGGACAATAGATAAGGTCAGAGGGAGAACGGCCCGCAGAATATAAATAGAAGACAAGAAATGCTGTGGTTAGCAGTCAACAAACTCTTCCATATTAGAATCCACCACCACTAAAAAAGGTATAACCTAAAAATATGACAGATCAGGGATATTTTACATTGCAGCATTGTACCCTGTTTGTAAGATTAATAAACCTCATTACCATCAGGCAAGTTATTAACAATATTAATAATCATTACATTTTTATAGCAACTCACATTCCAACTGCAGACAATTTTAAAATTGAAGAGGAAAGATTTTCATGCACAATTAAGCTGTTGAACTCCTTGCAACATGATATAAAATAGTCCATAATATATGAAAATAATGCCAACATTCACAGTGCACATTTGACAAGATAAATACAAGGGAGCTAAGATTTTCTTCCCCAAATGGTGCCAGAAAGAAAGAGATGTGGGCCAGTACAGGAAAGGAGAGAAAAGTATGATTTAAGGCATGCTAAATTTGATTAGGATGATTAATTTGAAGGTTTCCTTCCTCCCTCAGCTACATTAACACTTCAGTTATGAAACTTTTGTATCTATTCATAACACTGTTGTGGCAACTCTTTCCATCTAAGAAGAACAAGAAGAAAAATACAACAAATGGAAATGTAGTGACTGTGACCACACATGCATCATTCTTGCTTCAAATGCCTCTAGAACACTTCACTCTATCATGAAACCTTTCAACCACTCTGAACATCAGAGCAATTTTTTTTCCTTACAGGGTTATGAGACAAATAATAAGGCCAATATTTGTGAGCACAGAAGTAACTAGATTTTAAAACAGGAAACTCACTTTGGGGTGAGTGGAGAGAAGGGATTATTGACTATCTGCTCCCAAAACCAGCAGATGGGCCACTGTATAATTCAATTCAGAATGAATAGTATTCCTTGCACACAAGAATTTATGCATCAACTGAAAGTGCCTATAAATCAATGGAGTGATGTAAATCAATTCAAAGTGAAAAAAGGAGAACTGATTAAATAGGAAAACCAAAAGATGAGAGTCTTGCATACTTCATCCCCAAAAGCGTTAGCATGCATCATAAGTAACTATACTCTTAGCATAGCATGTCAGTCAGCAATTGAAGGAGATAGTTTTCCAGTTCTTCTAATTCATATGATGGTTAGTAAAGAGGCAGTCCTCCCAGAAAAGTATTTAATTTCACAAGATTTGCTCAAGTAGGAGATCTGTCATAACTCTCCGGCAGCTTCCAAATCCTCACACTCCCCCTAATTTGTTTTCCTTTGAGTATTAGATTTTAGCTGACTGCTTCTGTATATAAAACGATCTCTAACTGGTGACTAACTCTATTAACTTCAGTGTTCTAATGGAATGTAACATTGTCAGAAGAGATATATGGAGGGATCGGGGCACTGTGCCATAAAAGAACAAATCATACAAATATTATTTATCCACAAAATTAAAGTATGTTCTTATGACAGTAGGTCAAGAAGCAGCTTGGGTAAGTAAGGGAGACTGCCATTTCTCCAGCCAAAACCTCTGCAACTGTTGGTGCCCTTAAAAGGGATCAATAGTCAAAATTGAAAGAAGACAAATTATCTTAGTTTTCAAGCTGAAGAACTCCTATTAGAAATACCAAATATGACCGTTTTCAGAAACCTTACAGACCCTTGATTATTCATCTAAGATACAAATTAAACAATTTTAAATTCCACTTGGTGATACATTTTTATTTCATGCTGAGCATACTCACTGAGGGCTATTTTCCTCTTGTGAGACAGTGTGGTTTTGCATTTCTTCAAATCAGAGTTAAGGTCACATCTAAAAATAAACACAGTAGTATTTATAAATGTATGCACTTACAGTTTTATGAAGACTTACACCATTTCAAAGTGGTATTTTATCAAATAATTGCATTTGTACTCCTAATTGTATCCCATTCCCTTATTATTAGAGAGCTGCATCTGTGCTTCCTAGTTGTGACATAGTTTTGCTGTGTGATAAGCTTGGCAACAGATTTTGCAAAAGCATGTAAGTTTGACAGACAGCTTACCTCCACACAAAATTAGCAAGGGCAACAGCCAATCATAACAGAAACAAAGAGTAACAAACTAACAAAAGGGGGACTGATTTCAAGTCAGCATTTGGTGAGTAGATAAGACAACAGGAAGAAAAATATGCTAAAATGTTTGCACAAAAGTCTAGTACTATAAAAAGCTGTAAGTATATAACTGGCAGAATGTAAGTAGTGGGTTTTTATTTTTTATCTAGTACTCTTGCTTTTCTATAGCTAAGTCTGGACTCAAACCCACAACTTCTACAATATTTTGTAATGGTTGGCAACAAGCATCGTGAAAAGAAAGAGAAAAGAAGTTATTTATAAATATATCATGGGATAACTGGAGGTTTGTATTTGTTAGTAGTTCAGTTTCTACAAAGTAAATATAAGGCCCTAAAAAGCAGAAGATAGAACTAAATAACTTTAAACTCAAAGGAGTATGAAAATCCCACCATACTTAAACATCTTGCGAAGGGCACACTATGATGAAAGTGGCCTGGGAGAACCTCACTTCTCCATTTTTTGCTTTTACTATTGTCCAAGCAGGCCATGTTTATGCTACAAATTGTGACTGACGCAAACTGTGGTTACGTCAGCATACAGCTGCTGAAGTGTGTATAATTGCTCGGAGGTGTGCATATTTGGCTGTGCGCCACAGGTAACCCCAGTGTGCCAAGCGCAGCTGTCTGGCAAAATGCCTTTTGGAAATTTTTGCAATATGGGATACAAATGACTTACCTAAGGACCTCTGGGAGCTAGGGGTCAAGTTCCCAGCATGCAACTTTCTCCATCTCATCATCCCATCCATATCCCATAATTTTTGCACCTTTCTAAAAAAAAACCCACAAACCCACATGGCACTTTTTGGTCTCTGTCATCTCTGACAGAAGCATAGAGCTTTGCACTATTCTCATGAACATTCAAATACAGGACAAGTGATTCACCTGTATTTGCAGACCTGCAGGAAATACTGCAACAACTGGGGACGTGAGGATTTCTTTGAGGACAGATTGCTGAGGAACACAGGAAAAAACAATTCAAGGTTGTTGGTAGCATTCACGGAGTAGCTGCAGATGGTGGAGCACCACTTCAGGGCCCGAGAAACAAGCACTGAGTGGTGGGATCACATCATCATGCAGGTTTGGGAAGATGAGCAGTGGCTGCAGAACTTGCAGACGTGAAAGGCCACATTTCTGGATCTGTGTGCCAAGCTTGCCCCAGCCCCTCAGTGCGTGGGCACCAGAATGAGAGCTGCACTGACTGTGCAAAAACAAGTGACGCTCGCACTGTGGAAGCAATGACAGATTGCTACACGTCAGTGGGAAATTATTTTGAAACTGGAAAATCCAGTGGGGGCCGCTGCCATACAAGCGTGTAGAGCCATTAATGGTCGCCTGCTACGCAGGACTGTGCCTCTTGGCAATGTGTAAGACATAGCAGATAGATTTGCAGCAATAAGGTTTCCAAATTGCGGTGGGGCGACACACAGCACCTATATCCCTATTTTGGCATCAGCCATCTTGCCACAGGGTGCATCAATAGAAAGGGCTACTTTTCTATGGTTATGCAAGCGCTGGTGAATCTCCAGGGATGCATCACCAGTATCAATGTAGGCTGCTTAGGGAAGGTGCATGGATACTTACATGTTTAAGAACACAGGACTGTTCAGAAAGCTGCAAGCGGGAATATTCTTTCCCGACCGACAATATAGTAATGCCAATAGTGATTCTGAGGGACCCAGCCTATCCCTTGCTCATGAAGCCATACATCAGCCACCTCAACAGCACCAAGGGAAGATTCAACTACCAGCTCAACCGGTGCAGAATGACTGGTGAATGTGCTTTTGGTAGAATGAAGGGACACTATTGGTGCTTACTCACTAGACTGGATTTCAGCGAGAAACATATCCCCATGGTTATAGCTGCTTGCTGTGTCCTGCATAATATCAGTGAGGCAAAGGGGGGAAAGCTGCTGCCAGGCTGGAGGTGGAGCAGTTGTCTGCTGACTTTCAACAGCCAGACACAAGCGCGATTACAAGAGCCTAACATGGAGCTGCACAGGTGAGGGAGGCTTTGAAAGAGCACTGTAACAGTCAGCCACTGTAGTGTTCTGTGCAGGATTGTTCTCTGGACTTGGAGATTTGGGTGCTGCTGAGAACTGTGTCATGCTTGCTGTACATTTATAAATATGACTGGGTGTTTTCCTGAAGCTATGAATTATGTGGTGCTTGGTGTGAACTTGCATGTACTGTGCGCTATTTCTATGCCATTGCACATGCTCTGACCACAGAGCCACATACCAGGATTTGGGGAGGGGCAGTGGAGGAATCTATCACTGACTTACATGTATGAAGAAAACAAAAGAGAATCTCATAATCATTGACAGTCTATCACTGAGGCCTGGATCCTTACAAGTGGGTGCAACAGCTGTGTCCAGCCAAATCAGTGCAGATCACCACATTCCTATCAAAATACTACATTCCAAGTGCATTTGTGGACCAACCAAGAAAGGACAAAATACTTCCGAAAAATGGCCAGGGGTTGTGACCATGTAAGGAATTTATCATCATTTCCATGAAGAAGTTGTGGCTGGTGGAGGTCTTGGTGAAGACTGAACTACCGTAATTTTAATAACTGTCGGGACTTCATAAATGCTTCCATTACCACACTGCCAGATCAGACTAGAGAAGCTGCTACTGTCCAATGTGCTTTGGAGAATCAGAAAAGTAACTCCAGCTAACTGGCTCTCTCAGATCGCTTCCTAGGAAGAACACTCCCATGATCAGAGACCATTTCGCTAATTTGCAATGAACCAATGAAAACCAATGTCCAAGAAGCTTGTTAAAGTAAGCATTCAGACCTACACTTTGACTACCTGTGAGGCAGTGGGCACAAGCACCAGTTCTGTGATTTTAAGCCAACTGAGAGTAACTCCCCACCATGAACATTCTCACCCACCAGCTGTGGCCAGGTTCCAGCCTTTTTGCACAACCTGAGCAGCACACAGAGGCTGTATCCTAACTGAGACATTGGTCCTTTGTCTATTATCAAGGGAACCCCCTATCTACTGTTAATTAGCTCAACGATCCCCTCTTTGTAAAGAGTTTTGATTACCATGAACCAAAAAGGTCATCCCAATAGTGCCCAACCAGGTACCAATCATTCTCACTCTTTAAAACTCACCCACGTATTATGCTAAAATTGAGTGCCTGCAGGTGGCAAGAAGCCACCAGCTGGAGGGCAGGAAGTGCATTAAAGCAAATGAATACAAATACATTCATGCAGTGTGGAAATCCCCCAATACATCCTTTCACTGACATTTCGACTAAGTGCCGTGTAAACTACAGGAAGTGGTTTTCTTCCTTTTCCCACACCCTTCCCCACCTACTTAGATATGACCTATAATCACACTGTTTTTCTTCTTGATCATCCTGCAAAAGTTATTAGAAGCTTTAAAAAACTCAGTTAATCTAGAAATTAATTTTAACCACACGGTGAATTTGGGAGCACTTAACTGGAAACTGCAATTTAGGCCATTTAATTAGTCAGCTCCTTGTGTAAATGAAGACAATTTGTATATATTCACAACTAAAAAATAAGCAGCAGACTCACTTTTTTACATTTAATTTACTTATGATCAAAATATTCCCATTTCTTTAGTTCTATCTCCATTAATACAAAATATGTATGCCTACATCTGAAAGCAAGTATTAATTACAGAAATAAATAGCCCGTTAAGCAGAGAGATCTGTATACAATAGCTAGAAAGAACAAAAAGCATGGTTATGTTCTGTTTTGTAGAATTTCTATACAGCTTCATCAACTAGAGGAAAGAACAATGCCATTGAAACCATAAGCCTTGCTATAATACAGTTTGAAATTCAACAACCAATCAGTTTACCAAAAAAGAAAAAAAAGTTAGTTTTTCAGCTTACAAATGTATCTATCATTTAAATGAATTTTTACCCTCTTCCCATGAAATATGGAGACTACATTCTGATGCAGTTTCTGGTTCATGGAATGATTTCTCTATGTTTTACAACTCTTGGCTACAGGGCTATATAGGACCTCTTTGGAAATCTACAGTTGTACAGAACTTGAACTTGTATCATGCAAGAAAGAGATGAAAGACTGCCCACTTTCTCCATGGTGTAGGCTGCTACAAGCACAGCAGGCTATGCTCAAGTCTCTCTACTGGCTCCCAGTCACTTTCAGATGCCAGTCTCAGGCCTTGGTCCCAATCTTCAAAGCAATTCATGGACCAAGACCCAGCTACATTAAAGACCAAATTTTGATCTATGAATTGCAAAGACACTTGCACTCTTGTGGGCCAAAGCACAGCACATGAAGCCCAGGACAAACGGCATGAGAGCTGGTAACAAAACATTCTCGGTTGAGGGGATCCAGCTTATGCACAAACTTTTAGAGCAGCAGTTCTCAACCCACTGCCTGCGGGACGCATGCGGCCCAATTAGCACACAGCTGTGGCCCACAATGATAAATAGGTTGAGAACCACTGTTTTAGAGTCTGACTGACTTTAGGAAACACTTCAAAATGTCCCTCTTCAAAAAGCCTTTCCACTAGAGTAAGATTGACATTCAACACTGACATCCCGTGCTACCCAAGCACCCTCACAATAAAAGAGCCTGTAAAACAAACTGACAAACCAATCAACCAAAACAAACCACAAGCAGAGTTATTACTCCATAAAAGGGAGGCAGGCCATAAGATTCATGAAGTCCACTAAGAATTTCATTATT